ATCTATTGCAGTCTGAGACAGCAGGATAAGGGGTGAGGCAGAAGCATGGTCAGGGAAGATTGTAGATGAGAACTCATAGGTCCAAACAAAGCTGCGACAGTGACTGTGGCAAGTCTGGGATCAGACAGGAGCAAGGCAGAGGTCCAAGAATCACAAACAAGAGTGCTGTTGATGGGACAAATCCCACAGGAAGTTTTATAGCCCCGTGTCAGGGACCCGCATTTCCCATAGGTTTCTCCTGGTCATCTGACTCCTCATCACTGTCCTCACAGGAGACAGCAGGTTGGGCACTGATTTGTGTCAGAGCAGCTGCCTGGTGATGCTGTGGAGTTTGCCTCTAGCTGCTGACTTGGCTGCTTTAGGTTTGAATCCCAATGACCTTCACAGACTGGAGCTGGAGCCAATTCTTGTGAACTGAATTAGAGAATGAATATGCTGTGGAGCTCTGGGAAGATTGGGATAAGACCTAAGAGATGGGGATGGGAAGACTCTGACTTGGGAAGGAGATAAGGAAGTCAATGTGGTGTCAGGGTCTTAAGAGGTGAGTAGAGAAGGGCAAGACTAAGCAAAGGAGCTACAGGGAGGACAAAAGACAAAAATAAAACACAGACTATAAGAATAGAAATAAAGATTGCCTTTATCCCCTTAAATTTTTTAAAACAGGATTCACAAAATCCAGATACTGAATCAGTCATCTAAAATAGCCAATAGCAAATTCTGAAGATAATGGCATATATGGATTGTCCTTTAGGTGTGGGGCCAGATTCTTTAAGTGCCTAAACTACCACTAATATTAAGTGGGATAAGAAGAGACATGCCCTATCACCCAGGAAATGGGATCTGTGATTTTCAGTTTCTCTTCAACATGAAGGGAATCAAACCCCTTTTATGACCATTGTATTATTACCAACGGATTACTGGCTAAAGTGGTGGAACACACTTACACTGCTCTCACTGGCTGGAGGCATTTGCTGCAAAGAATATGAGTCTTGGGCTAGAAGGAGAGCACACAGGAGCGTTGAAGACTATATAGGCTGGTGCTTATGGCACTCAGCTGGAAGGAAGGAATCGTTGGGTCACTCTTGCTCACAAGTCTGTTTTCTCTTCTTATCCAGGACCTATTTAATTATAATAGAATAGCAAGCGGGGAGGAAAACCCAGGCATCCCCTTTTTGGTTTTGAATATGCAGCACCTCCATCTGTGGTTTAAAGGAAAGGCGTCACAGGCTCAGGCTCCTTCCTTTTTTCAAAATAGGCCATCTCATTCTACAGAAAAAGTGAAGTGTGACACCTTCCAAGTCTATTATAGAGCCTAGTGGAAAGGTCAGTCTTCAGGTATGGAATGCAGAGGATTTGATTTCATAAAATGAAGAAGGACTCAGGTCTCACCAGTCCTGAAGGAAGACCTCAAGCTAAAGCTTATTGTGCAGAAGGTCACAATGGGCTCCAAGCTGAAGCCTCTTGTGCATGGCAATGTCACCCACAAAAATCAGAATTAGGCAATAGACCCAAAGAACTATGACACACACTACCAAATTGTTACAGTTTTTTATCTGCTATGACAAAAGTCCTAAAATGCCATGTCACTTCACTGCAGGTGATCTGTAATAATTCCTTCTTGGATTATTGATAGTGATTATTGGAAATGAGCGTCCAACAAAAAAGGGAAATGGTCTTGCTAGACAGAAATCAGCTTGGCAAGGTAAAGGACTCATTGGAAGATAATACTATCTATTAGGGCTGTGCAAAGCTTTAGTCCCTGATTCGATTCAGTGGAGATGCAGCCCGATTCAATGTCCAAATCTCCAAATCCAAATTGAATCAGAGGACCCTTTAATTTCTCCGAATCTAATCAGAAGACTCCAAATTGATTCACAGAGATTCAGAAAGGTTCAGCAATTCAGACATAGACCCAGCTTTAAATATTTTTTCTACATACGTCTAGGTAGCAGGTAGCTCTTGAATTCTGTGATGCTGGGGCACATGGCATGTCCCACAAGAGCGCAGGGGCCTCCCCAGCATGCTCAGCAGCAGACCCAGAAGTGGACCAGAAGTGCACAGGGGGGGTCCCCTGCACATACCCCCAGCTCGATGACTGGTGCCTCCTGGGTCTGGGGGGGGGACCCAGTGTCCCCCCATGGCTGATCAAGCACATGGAGGGCCCCCCTGCACTCCTGAGGGATGCTCCATGTGCCCCAGCATCTCAGCATTCACAAGCCGCGCTGGTACCTGAAGGTATGTAGAAAAAACATTTAAAGCTGCATCTGTGTCCAAATCACTGATTCTCTGACTGAGCATTGAATCTTCAGATTCAGCCGAATCAAATCAGGGACACTGATCCGAATCAATGAATTGAATCACTGTCCTTGATTTGGGTTGAATTTGAATCCGAATCGAATAGGGCCCATTTTGCACACCCGTACTATCTATCTAAAGATAGATCAGTCTAAAGATATTGAATAATATGTGTCTCAGCTCATACATTTTATGGCCAGCGTTGGTGTGTGCAGCACCACACTAAGGTGGTTACACAGCACCTGATCCAGGAGGTAGCATGAAAGGAGCAGGCACAGAATGATTCACCACAGTACTGTGAAGTGCAATACCATATTTGCAGGCCAATTGTGGTAAGAAGAGAGAAAAGCCCAATCCTGAAACTCTCTTGAGATGTGGGGACAGTTCTTTTCTCCCTAACCAAACTAGTTTTTGTGGTAGATTTACTATCACGCCAATTTGGAACAGTTCCTATTCATTTAATGAAACTTTTAGGCAGGGAAGGGAATTGCCTCTAGACCAGGTCCCAAAGGGAGTAAATATGCTTTCTTAAGAACTAATTGGTCATTTGGGCATCAGAAAAAAATGCAGCTGTTGATATAGAAATGATGTAAGTACATCCAATTTATTTCTGCTTGGGATGTCTCCCACCCATTTGGTAGAAGATTCTCTTGTTCAGCATACCAACAGTCTGTTACCCTATTTAAAATAATTTAGATCTGAGATGTATGTACCTATTCTCTCTCTCTCCTTTCTTTCTTTCATTCTTATAAGATGATGAAGCAGGAACCATTAATTATAGGAGAATGAAGCAGGAACCATTAATATCTCATATTTCCTGGAAACTTACTTCCGCTATTAGGTGAGTTTCTCCTATTGTATTCTATGTAATGTGTGATACTCCTTTTGAAACAATATTGTAAATGTAGTCATTGGGAGTTCAGTGTCTCCAGCCTCCTCTCCAGTGGCTTAAAAACTGTGATTTTCAGAAGGACCAAAAAAAAAAATGAGGTGCTTATTGAGGGAGTTTTGTTTTTGTTTTTTACTTTCCATGAAGTTACACAGAAGCAGAGACTGATCGGGGACAGATTCATGTTGTGTTTAGTTCAAGAAAAATCACTGAAGTCTAGTGTACAATGAATACTGCTTTCATGGAATCTAGCACTATATATTTGAAAATAAAGGAGCCATTATGGTAAAATAAACCTGACATTCACACTCCCCAAAAAAGAGACTAAAACCAAACAGGGAAGCAGGGAATATGTGTAACCTCTGCCTCTGCCTCTGTCAAATCAGCCACAAAAAAGCATTTCAGATTCAAATGTCTGTTATAAGAATGTCCTGTGCATGCCTCTCAGCTTTTGTTCACTGGGTGATGGGAATAGGAGCAGAAAACCAGCTGTCTCCATCTCACTAATCCACCCTCTTTCTAGCTCCTTCCTGTTGGGGCACCACACATTTTTCCTTGTTGGCTGCCCGATGACCAGGTTCAAGAAAATTGTGATTTTCTCAAATCCTGCCTACATGACAGGGACAATAAATTAATCTCTCTATCCCCTAAAACTATGTCCTAATAATTCAGCTGGTCAGCTACTGGGTGAGAAAACCCTTCTCCTCCAGAATAAAACAGTTTTCTTGATGCCAATTTTTCTCTGTTTTCAGTAACTGCTACACAGTGATATGCCTAGCTGGGTAATCTTCTTTCCTGCAAGGGGAATTAGAATCTCAAATATGCATTAATGCTAAAAATGCCACTTATGAAACTACATTTGAGCATATACATATTCTTAGATCAGTTAAAATAAAATGGATTTGGATTCACAGACCTTGAGCTTAGAGGTCACTTCTGCTGCAGACACTATTATAGGACTTTTTCAGGTACTCCAAGGAGAAACTAAGTTCTTCAAGAGGCAGCTCTGTCAGGGAATGTGCTTGTCTGAAGGTGCAGATTACTGGAAGTTGTTTCATTATTAGAAGACTTTGCAAACAACTGGAATGAGTTGCTTTTCTCTGTGACTATGGAGGATAGAAGCCTGCCATTCATTTGCAATGCCCATATTAATGAATTAGTGGCCACTTAATCTCTAAACTGTGACTTAATTTACCTACTGAATTAGCTAGTGCCTAGATGCTCTGGAGCTGTGTTCTGCAAAATACTGAAAATATACCATGTAATGGTTTTGTCACTAAAATACCATTATTGTTTTGGTTTTAGCTTTTTAGTGATGCACTGCTTCTAGCTATACCCCCCCCCCCAAAAAAAGAAGCCCAACCTAACAACAACTCCAAAACAAAACAAAAAGAACCTAATAATCTTCCTTTTTCCCCATCCTTCAATCTATTTCACATTTTCCCCTTCCAGCTATTTAGTTATATCTTTGAGAATACACGGCATTTCCTTAAATTCTATGCCCTGCCATCATCAGATGCGAAGTAGGAGATGGATTTTATTTGGTACAGAGAAGCTTAAGAAATAAATCAAAGAGAAGAATAAACCCAGCAGTTTCAGAAGTCAATTTTATTTTCAATATTTATAGTCTTCTCATCAAAAATTTTTTTTTTTCATTGAAAAGTATTTGGAAACACAGAAGTTTAAACATAATGACAATGTTGTTTATATACAGATCTCTTTACCCATAAACCATGTCCACTGTGTTCATAGAAATTATTTTATTGTTTCATTAATTCATTCACTTCTTCTTGTAGGTCCAAGGTTTGGTGAACAAATGGCCATGGGGAACCTAACGACTGTCAGCTATTTTGTTCTGTCAGGTCTTTCCAATGACCCACAGCTCCAGCCTTTCCTGTTTGTGGTGTTTCTACTAATATACCTTCTAACCGTCATGGGGAATGGGGCTATCATGGTGGTGACAAGAGCAGATTCTCACCTCCACACCCCTATGTATTTTTTCCTATTCCATTTATCCTTTCTGGATATCTGCTATTCTTCAGTTACAGTCCCAGAGATGCTGCACAACTTCATGGTGGATAGGAAAACAATTTATTTCCCTGGCTGCATTTTCCAGATGAGCTTAATTCTCCTGTTGTCCTGTTCAGAAATTTTCATGCTATCAGCAATGGCCTATGATCGATACGCTGCTATCTGTGACCCACTGCATTATGGGGGAACCATGAATAAGCAAGTCCGCATAAGACTAGTGTGTGGTGTATGGCTGATCAGTATCATTCATGCACTGACAAACACTGGTCCTGTGTTACATTTACATTTCTGTGGGCCCAAGGAAGTGAATAATTTCAGTTGTGAGCTCCCATCTCTACTAGAACTGTCCTGCTCAGAGACATTTGTCAGTAAAATTACATTTCTCACTTCAGTTATGATTGTAAGTTTGGTCTCATTCTCTGTCACTCTGGTCTCTTACATCTGCATCATCTCCACCATCTTGAGGATGCGGTCTGCTGAGGGTCGGAGTAAAACCTTCTCTACCTGTAGCTCGCACCTCACTGTGGTTGTTCTGTATTATGGGGCTGGTTTGTTTCGATATCTGAGACCAAGTTCAGCCTCTTCGGTTGTTCTTGACAGACTCTTCTCCATCCAGTACAATATCTTAACTCCCATGTTAAATCCTATTATCTATAGCCTGAGAAACAAGGAGGTAAAGGCAGCTCTGGGGAATACATTGGGGAAAATTCAAAGCATGTAAATGTATTTTAATATGTGGTAATATCAATAGGCTAATGGGAACTAGAGATTAAAATATTCTGATGTTATGTAACTAATTGACACAGGCTTTTAGTCCATCAAGCAATTAAATTCTCCTTTAAGCATAGGAATGTTTGTGCATAAGAATGGCAGTTCACAACTGAAATTGTTCACTTGTTACATAAATGTACAGAGCCTGGGAAGCAAGCTGGAAGAATTGGAAATCCTTACATAGTCCTGGAACTATGATGTGATTGGAATAACAGAGCCTTGATGGGAGCTCGCATGAGTGGAGCACTGACATGGATGGGTACAAACTGTTCAGGAAAGACAGATAGGGGAGAAGAAGATGAGGATTTGCACTTTATGTAAAAGAGTCATATGATTTCTCAGAGCTCTGGTATGAAACTGGATATAGACCCATTGAAAATCTTTGGGTTAAGGTTAGATGGGAGAGCAACAAGGATGATGTTGTAGTGGGTGTCTGCTAAAGAGCACCACACCAGGAAGAAGCAGTGGATGAGGCCTTGTTCAAACAGCTAGCAGAAATTTCCTGATCACAGGCCTTGGTTGTCATGGGGGACTTCAACCACGCTGACATCTGCTGGGAAGGCAATACTGCAATGAACAGGCAATCCAGAAAGTTTTTTGAGACAAGTGTTTGGGACAACTTTCTCGTGCATGTGATGGAGCGGCCAACTAGGGCCAACTAGGGTTCTTTTTGAGTTGCTACTCACAAATGGAATAATTGGTGGGAAATATACTAGTAGACAACTTGGGCAACTGTAACCATGAAATGATAGTGCAGGATCCTGAGGAAAGGAAGGATGGAGAGCAGCAGAGTAAGGGTCCTGGACTTCAAAAAAGAAGACCTTGGCTCACTCAGGGAACTCATGGGCAGGATCCTCTGGGAAGCCAGTCTGAGAGGGAGAGGAGTCCAGGAAAGCTGGCTGTACTTCAAAGAAGCCTTACTGAGAGTGCAGGAACAAACCATCTTGATGTGCAGGAAGACTAGCAAGTATTGCAGAAGACCAGCTTGGCTTAGCAGGGTACTCTTTAGTACAGAAATCACAAAAAGGAAGCTTATAAGAACTGAAATCTTGGACAAATAACTAGAAAAGAATATAAGAACACTGCTTGGCCATGCAGGGATGAAGCCAAGAAGGGCAAAACACAATTGGAGTTGCAGCTAGCAAAGGATGTGAAGGGGAACAGGAACAGTTTCTACAAGTATGTCAGTAAGAAAAGGAGGATCAGGGAAAGTGCGGGTCCCTTACTGCGTTGGGGAGGCAGCCTTGTGACAGAGGATGCAGAAAAGGCTGAAGTGCACAATGCCTTCTTCGCCTCAGTCTTCACAGGCAAGGTCAGATCCCAGACTACTGCACCATGCAACACAGTTTTGGGAGGAGGTGAGCAGACCTCATTGGTGAAAGAACAGGTTACAGACTATTTAGAAAAGCTGGACATATACAAGTCCATGGGACCAGATGGGATGCATCCGAGGGTGCTGAGGGTGGTGGCTGATGAGATTACAGAGCCATTCACCATCATCTTTGAAAACTCCTGGTGATCGGGCGAGGACCTAGATGATTGGAAAAGGGCAAATGTAGTACCATATTTAAAAAACGGGAAAAGGAGGGTCTAAGGAACTACAGACCAGTCAGCTTCACCTCAGTCCCTGGAAAAATCATGGAGCAGATTCTCAAGGAATTCATTTGTAACCACTTGGAGAAGAAAAAAAAAAGATTCAGAACAGCCAGCATGAATTTGCCAGGGACAAGTCACACCTGGCCAACCCGATTGCCTTCTATGATGAGGTGACTGGGTCTGTGGACATGGGGAGACCAGTGGATGCGGTGACCTTGATTTTAGTAAGGCTTTGATACAGTCTCCCACAACATTCTCCCAGGCAAGCTAAGGAAGTATGGACTGCATGAATGGACTGTAAGGTGGATAGAAAACTGCCCACTTCAGAGGATAGTAATCAGAGGGTAGTAACCAACCCAAGTGGGTAGTAATTACTACCTCAGAGGGTAGTAATCAACCCAAAAGATTAGTAATCAATGACTCATTGTCTAGTTAGCAGTCAGTATCTAGTGAAGTGCCCCAGGGGTCAGTCCTGGGGCCAGTTTTGTTCTGTGTCTTCTTCAGTGACCTGGAAGATGGGATGGAGTGCACCCTCAGGAAGTTTGCAGATGACATCAAGATGTGGGGAATAGTAGATATGCTGGAAGGTAGAACTAGGATTCAGATTGACTTAGACAAATTGGAAGATTGAGCCAAAATAAATCTCATGAGGTTCAACAAAGTCAAGTACAAACTCTTGCAATTAGGACAGAACCATCTTATGAACCAGTAGAGGCTGGGGGATGACTAGTTGGACAGCAGCTCTACAGGAAAGGACCTGGGGTTTACAGTTGACAATAAGCTGAATATGAACCAGCAGTGTACCCTTGTTGCCAAGAAAGCTAATGGAATACTGGGCTGCATCAGTAGGAGTGTAGCTAGGAGGTGAAGGGAAGTGATTATCCCCCTCTATTCAGCACTGGTTAGGCCACATCTGGAGTATTGTGTTCAGTTTTTGCCCCCCCCCTCCCCCCACTACAAAAGGAATGTGGATAAATTAGAGTGTGTTCAGCAGAAGGCAGCAAAAACTGTGAGGGGGCTGGGGGACATGACTTATAACTATGAGGAAAGCCTGAGGGAACTAGGCTTATTTATTATAGGGAAGAGGAGACTGAGAGGATTTAATAGCAGCTGTCAACTCCCTGAAGTGGGGTTCAAAAGAGGATCAAGCTGGACTGTTCTCAGTGGTGGCAGATGACAGAACAACAAGTAGCAACAATCTCAAGTTTCAGCACTGGAAGTTTAGGTTAGATATTAGGAAGAATTTTCTCACTAGGGGGGTAGTAAAACACTGGAAACGGTTACCCAGAGAGGTGGTGGAATCTCCATCCTTGGATGTTTTCAAAATCTAACTAGATAAAGCTTTGGCCGGGATGATCTAGCTGGGGATGGTCCTGCATTGATCAGGGTGTTGGACTAGATGACCTCCTGGGGTCTCTTCCAACCTTCATTTTCTTTGATTCTATATTTCTCTATAGTGCCATGACAATATTCAATACAGCCTTTTGTAAAGGCATTGTAGGAGCAGAGATGTATTGAAGGCATGAATGCTGCTGAAGTTATCATAGCCAAGAGTGTATGAAATAGTTCAGCTTTTCTTTTTCCTTTTTTTTCTGGGGAGTGAGAATAAGTGTACCATCTTGTGGCTAGAGCACTGACTTGAGAAAGAGTGATTCCAATGAATCTGTTTTTATGCAAAATTAGCATATTCAACAAGACAGACAGTGAAAGCTTGAGCCTGAAATACTCCATAATCTGGAAGCTAGGTCCTTTAGAGAAGTGGGAAATGTGGGTTTTTGTCCCTGCTTCAGAATTGGACAAAGAAGACAGTAGTGTTCTGCATGAGGAACCCCACCCTTATCAGCTGAGTGCTCTAAACAATTCATATGGAAAGAGCATCACCATCACTTCCTTCTTGGATTTTCATGAAAAATGTTTTACTTACCTCCACGAGAGTTTGACAACTGTGAATCATATATTACATAAGTTACCCCTTGATGTTCTTAAACAAGAGAAATTTAAAAATAAACTTGATCACAAAATTGTGGAACAAGAAGCCTTCCAGAGACTGGATTGTCTGACGTGTGGTCTCATTACTTCAGTTAACATCTCTGATTCGGTATATAAAGTCTAGCTCTGCCCTGACTCCTGCTTGAGTTCATGACAAATGCTCATGGACCAAGTGAAATCTGACTTAAAAGCAGCTGTTAAGGAAGTTTGTAGCATCAGAAACCTTCTAATGGGTTAAATATTTGCCCTATAAATTGTTTGCAATCTGGGAAGTTCCCCAATCCTCAACTGATTTATCCCCTTTTGAACTCCTGTATAGGAAACAAAGGAGTATATTAGACCCCCTTATGGAGGTCTGGTAGACTCAGTGTATGAGACCCCAAAATATAGTTCAATATACTCTTCAACTTTGGGAATTGCTAGAGGCTCACAATCCCATACATTTCTCCTGGTTACCTGACCCCTCATCACCATTCTCGTGGGAGGGACAAGGCTGGGCAGGGACTTGTGTTTAACCAGTTGCTGGGTGGTGCTGTGTACTTTGCCTCTGACTGGGCTGCTTTGGGTTTGAATCCCAGTGGTCCTAATACGACTGCAGCTGGAGCCAAGTAGAGGGATTAGAAGTATGGAGTGTTTTACACTGTGAAGCTAGCATGATTATGACAAAACCTAAGAGAAGGGGCTCGGGGAGACTTTGACTTGGCAAGGAGATGAGGGAATCAGCATAACGTTGGGACTTCAAGCGGTGAGTGGATAAGGCCAGGAATGAGAAAAGAGCTAACAGGAGGAAACGGGAAAAATGGAACATAGACTGTAAGGATAGAAACAGACATTGCCCTTGCCCCCTTAATTTTTTTTATGGCTGCACAAATGCCAGGGGAGCAGACATACATAATCATTGTCATGCCACAAATGGGCAAAGTCACTGGCCACAACAATGGTAGTAATAGGTTGTGCTGTTTTTCATTGGCCAGCATCCGTTTGCTCTGTGAAGGAAGAGGATGGGAAGCTTGGGACTTCCCTCGCTCTCCAGCTGCCTTGGGCAGGTGCTCTGGAGGTTTGAGGACCCAGTCCTGAGGGCCCAGGAATTGCGGTACAGGATTGGGCCCATCAAGTCCCTGGAATGCCTGCCTGGCTGTACCAACCTATGGAGATGTATTCCAGGGAATTTCAGGGCATGTCTCTGTATGGAGAGAAAGCCAGGATTTTCCTACTTATGGAAATTAACTCTGAGATCTTTGGGGTGTTTCTCTCTTCCTTCCTTATGAAGCCCACCCAGGAGGCCTCACCCAGAAGCTTTTTTTAAGATGCTGAAAGCAGTCATAGGAATTGTGTATGCAGGGAGGGAGATAGTAACAGATTTTA